GAGTGAACCAGCAGTTGGAAGATTCTCTCTCTCTCTCTATCAGTAACTATGCCTTTCAAATAAATAAAATAAATATTAAAAAAGGGAAGGTTGAGCTAGATTAGTGAATAAAAGCAATGGGAGACCCACATGGATTTCCTGGCTCCTGGCTTTGGCTTGGCCCAGTCCCAGGTTTTAAAGTCATTCAGAGAATGAACAGGAGAACAGAAAATCTTTCTGTGTCTCACCCTCTGTCACTCCATCTTCGAAAAAAAAAAAAAGAGTTGGAAAACTATTCACACTGCCTGCTGTGTGGTAGCTATCTGCCAAGACGCCTGTCAACAATTCCTCCCATCCCACTGAGTGCCTGTGGCTCCACCTACTGAGCAGTAGAGTCTGTTTTCCCTCCCCTTGTACCTGAGCTGGCTTTGTGATTTGCTTCTACCCAAAGAATGCACTAGAAATGACACTGTAGCAATTCCAGTCCAAGTCTTAGGAGGGCTGGAAGCCAGCCACCATATAAAGAAGGTTGAGCTTGACAATGCGTAATAAGAGATGCAGAGACAGACGGGAGAGGTGTGCCAGGCGCCCCAGCCAAGAGCCAGCACCGAGGCCCCAGGCATGTGAGTGAAGCCATCCGAGAGGCTCTGGCCCCAGCTGAGCCCAAGATCTGGAAGCAGCACTATCGCTGTGTTAAGCTGTAAGTTTCGGGATGATTTGTTATACAACAGTGAGTAGCTGACTCTGCAGAAGAGAAAGGGGGTCACTGGGGCAGGAAGGACTTTCCAGGCCACCTTAAATATGAAGGCTTCAGATGTTAGATAGTTACACGCAGCACCTGGAAAGCAGCTCAAGTCCTGGTGAGGGCTCGGGAGAGACGCACAGGGTGGAGGCAGGGACTGCAGAGTCACTGGCCATGGACAGGACTTGGCACCCGTAGAGATGGTGAAGTTGCCAGACAGGAAGGTGAGAGGACGAAGGAAGGAAGCACGGGGACAGGCATACGACACAGAGGTTAAGTTGCCTACTTGGTACATCTACATCCCATACTGGAGTGCCTGGGTTCGTGTCCAGCCTGCACTCCCAGTTCCAGCTCCCTGCTAACGCACACTCTGGGAGGCAGCCAGGAGACTGCTCAGGTAGTTGGGTCCCTGCCACCCATGTGGGAGACGCGGATTGAGTTCCCAGCTCCTGGGTTTGTCCTGGCCTGGCACTGCCAGCTGTTGTAGGCATTTGAGGTGTGAACCGGCAGATGGGAGATCTCTCTCTGGCTTTCAATTAAACTAAATTTTAAAAATTTAATAAAAGAAAAAATAGGTTCCAGGATGAAAATCTGGCCCCACAGATATCTGAGGGACAGACAGAGAAGTTTGTTAAAGACAGAACAAGCAGTGATCAGAGACAAAGAACCAACAAAGAACCAGGGAGCTGATCTCTGCTATGGCCTGGGAAAGCAGTAGAAGATGGCCCATGTGCTTGGGCCCCTGCACCTGTGTGGGAGACCGGGAAGAGACTCCTGGCTCCTGGCTTCAGATCGGCGCAGCTCCGGCCGTTGCGGTCATTTGGGGAGTGAACCAATGGAAGGAAGACCTTTCTCTCTGTCTCTTCATCTCACTGTCTGTAACTCTCTCTCTCAAATAAATAAAATCTAAAACAAACAAACAAAAAAAAACAAAAAAAAACAAAAAAAAAACAGGGAGCTGAACCCCTACTTTGAGCAGATGTAATTCACAGCTACAATGAGCAGCTGAAGGGGTGGGCGCTGTGGCGTAGTGGGCTAAGCTTCCGCCTATGGCACCGGCAACCCATATGGACACAGGTTTCAGTCCCAGTTGCTCCTCTTCTGATCCAGCTCTCTGCTATGGCCTGGGAAAGCAGTGGAAGATGGCCCAAGTCCTTAGGCCTCTGCATTTGTGTGGGAGACCCAGAGGAAGCTCCTGGCTTCAGATCTGCCCAGCTCTGGCCATTTTAGCCATCTGGGGAGTGAACCAGCAGATGGAAGACCTCTCTCTCTCTCTCTCTGTCTCTCTGTATCTCTACCTCTCAAATAAATAAATAAAATCTGTCAAAAAAAAAAAAAAAAAGAGTAGTTGAAGATTGGGAGGGGAGGAGACAGGGCAATTTCAGTTTCAAATAAAGCAGCAAGGGCAGAGTTATAGAGAAGAAGGAGAAGATTGGGGAGGAGACAGGGCAATTTCAGTTTCAAATAAAGCAGCAAGGGCAGAGTTGGATGAGGAGGGGCCAGGGAGGGAACGACAGGTGGACAACAGAGATCACTGCTTTCAAAAGTCTGCTGTAGGCAGAAGGAAGAAAGCTGCAGCATTCGCTGGGTGGAGCGTAGGACAAAAGGAAATCTGTTCAACACGAAGGGATTTGCTTACTGAGGGAGGTGCCACAAGCATGCCGAGGGCTGGCACTGTGGCGCAGAGGACTGAGCCACCACTCAGGATGACTGCATCCCAGGTGGAGTGCTGACTACTGCACCTTTCCACCCAGCATCCTGCTAAATGCTGGGAGGCAGTGGATGACGGCCCGAGGGCTTGGATTCCTGCCACCCACCTGGGAGGCCTGGATGGAGCTCCTGGCTCCTGGCTTCAGCCTGTCCTAACCCCCGGCTGTTGTGGGCCTTTGGGGAGTGAATCAACAGATGGAAGATCTTGGTTTCTCTGTCTCTGTCTCTCTCTGTGCGTCACTCTGCCTTTTAAATAAATAAATAAGTCTGTTAAAAAGTCAAAGAAAAGAGAGAATGGAGATCCTGAACAGAGAGGCGCACCGGTCCCAGGGGACAGAGAGGGAGGGGACAGAGCACGCAGGTGGAGAGTACTGGCCTGCACAGGTGAGGGAGGCTCCGCCTAGCGGTCCCTGTGAAGAGCAGTGAGGTCCAGGGCTGACAGGGAGTGGCAGGGGGATTCCCCACCTCCCAGGGAGGGGCTCTCAAGAAGAGCTGTTCTCCTGAACCTTCTCCTTCCTGAGCCTGCCCCTGGGGTCCCCATCCAGCCCCTCACTCATTCTCCAGGCACTCACTGAGCATCCACACCATCCAGCACCCCTGCACACGTCTCAGACCCCCCACGCCCAGCAGGGACCTCACTGCCTACTGGACAGAGAACACAGGCAGGTCCCACTCTGCCCAGTCCCAAAGTCACCTCCCGGCAGCTGCCCCACCCGGCCTGACACAAAGGAATGCCGAATTCTTTTTTAAAAGATTATTTATTTGAAAGTCAGAGTTACAGAGAGACAGACAGACAGACAGACATATTCCATCTGCTGGTTCACTCCCCAGAGGACCGCAACGGCCAGGGCTGGGCCAGGCCAAAGCCAGGATCTGAGCTTCCTCTAAGGTCTCCCACGTGAGTGCAGGGACCCAAGCATGTGGGCCATTTTCTAGTGCTTTTCCCAGGCTGTAGCAGGGAGCTGGATTGGAAGTAGAGCAGCTGGGACTCGAACTGGCGTCCATAGGGGATACCAGTATTGCAGGTGGTACCCTGCAATTGTAACCCATTACACCACAATACCCTGCACCTGCATAGGAGACAGGAAGACGCTCCCCACTCCTGGCTTTGGATCAGCTCAGCTCTGGCCATTGCAGCCCTTTGGGGAGTGAAGCAGTGGATGAAAGACCTCTCTTTCTGTCTCTCCCTCTCTCTGTAACTCTGTCTCTCAAATAAATAAATATTTTAAAAAATGCAATAAATATGATATATTGTCTATCACACAGAGTAAGAGTATTTACTGTTTCTTAAGTTTTCCTTTGGGGCCAGCATTGTGGTGCACGGCGGCCCATATGAGAGCATCTTCAACTGTGGCTGCTCCACTTCCCATCCAGCTCCCCACTAATGCACCTGGGAGAGCAGCAGCAGATGGCCCAAGTGCTTGGGCCCCTGCACCCATGTCAGAGACCTGGATAGAGTTCCAGGCTCCTGGCTTCAGCCTGGCCCAGCCCCAGGTGTTGTAGCTATGTGGGAAGTGAACCAGCAGATGGATGAGTCTCTCTGTGTCTCTTCTCTCTCTAACTCTGCTTTTCAAATAAATAAAATCTTAAACAACAGGGGCTGGTGCTATGGCATAGTGGGTAAAACCATCGCCTGCAGTGCTGGCATCCCATATGGGTGCTGGTTCAAGTCCCGGATGCTCCACTTCTGATCCAGCTCTCTGCTATGGCCTGGGAAAGCAGTCCTTGGGCCCCTGCACCTGTGTGGGAGACCTGGAAGAAGGTCCTGGCTCCTGGCTTTGGATCAGCGCAGCTCCAGCTGTTGTGGCCAATTGGGGAGTGAACCAGTGGATGGAAGACCTCTCTCTCTCTCTGCCTCTCTATAACTCTGCCTTTCAAATAAAATAAATCTTTTTTAAAAAAAGCATAATCAAAAAACAAAACAAAACAAAAACTACTGTTTTCTGAGTGGATGTTTAACTTAATGGTTGGGTCACCTGCATCCCACATCAGTGTCTGGACTTGATACCCAGTTTCACTCCTGATTCTAGCTTCCTGCCAACGCAGACCCCTGGCAAGCAGCAGCAGCGGCTCAAGTAACTGGGATACTTGGATTGAGTCCCAACTCCCAGCTTCAACCCTCTGGTCTAGCACAGAGAGGCCTGTGGTTGCAGGCATCTGGGGAGTGAACCAGCAGATGGAAGGTCTGTCTGTCCCTCAAATAAATAAAAAAAAGAACAATGTTGGGGCCAGTACTGTAGGGTAACAGGTTAAACTGCCACTTGCAACACCAGCATTTCATATGGGTGCCAGTTCAAGTCCTGCTGTTGCAGCCATTTGGGCAGGGAACCAGCGGATGGAAGATCTCTCTCTCTCTCTTTCAAATAAATAAAATAAAATAAAATAAACATCTATTCCAATTATGACAATAATGTCAACCTGTTACTATAGGTTGACATCAAAAGATCTGTGTACATGCGAAAACTTTCACAGTAAAAGTTTCAAACAGCAACACTGCCGTGGAGAAGCTGCCCCTCCCCTTGGGCCCGTGTTTTGGGCCCCACGTCTGCAGCTACTACAGGACACTTACATTGTGCACTGTACGTCTTCTCTCTCCTCTCTCGAAGCTTTGCTCACAATGGCAGCCTTTCCAGGGGCCTTCAGACGTGCCCGAGCCTTACTGTGAAAAAACAAAACCGAAACACCTCACTGGCTCCCTCCCACCTCCCAGGTACTCCCACTCTCCCTTCCCAGGCAAACCTCTCCAGACAGTCGCCTGCAGGGCAGGTGTGCGGCACAGCAGGGTAGAGTTCATTTTCAGGTTCCAGCTACTGGACTCCCAATCCAGCTTCCTGCTAACACTTCCTGGCTCAAGTAGTTGGGCCCTCACACCCATGTAGAAGACCTGGGTGATGTTCCAGGGTCCTGGCGTCAGCCTGGCCCAACCCTGGCTGTGGCAGGAATTTGGGGCGTGAACCATTGGATGGAAGATCTCTGTCTCTCTCTCTCTCTCTCTCTCTCTGCACTCTTCAAATAAAATGAAAATAACTTTTTTATAAAAAGAACAGGGTCACCTGTGTTTGTCCTTAGCTCTGTCACCCAAATCCTGCCCCTTCCTCCTGCCTGCAGCTCCTGTGGGACTCAGCTCCCCGTAGCTGCCAGGGACTCCCACAAGCCTGTTCATCTAGGGGACTTGTCATTCCCACTGCTCCCTCCACCTTCAGCCCCAACTCCTCAAAGGCCTGTACTGACCTTCCCCGCAATGTCAGCCCCTCACGACTGGGGGACCCCACGCTCCTGTTTCCTACCTACCGGTCAGCTGTCACCATTAACAGCTTTGGAGGCCTGAGTGATTATTTGCCCAGATTAGGTCCCGTAAGGCGGACAGGGACTACCTCTGTCTTTATTTTGGCAGCCCTAGGGCCTCCCTGGGTTAGTGTGAGGCACAGTCAGGGCTGAACAAACAGATATTAGATAAACAAACAGGTGACAGCCCCTGCCCTACACACTGAGTGTGCAATGGTGAGAGACGTTCTAGAAGGTAAAGGGCTGAGGGGGAGGAGAGAGCTGGGGCAAAAGCAGAAAGAGGAGGCGGCTCCTGCCCCGCTTCCCAGCCAAATCTGGAGCCGTTTCAACACCAGCACAGGTCTTCAGAGCTGTCGCCCTTCACTGCCTCTGTGCCAGCAAAGTCAGCCTTCCAGGCAGGATGGGCAAGGTAACATCTGATACACACACAGCTCTGCAGGAACAGCCATGGCCTGCTGAACCACGAAGAGGCGATGCCTCCTTCCGCACCAAACCCCTAGCAAATGGGGGCTGCACCTGTTTTACTTGCCCGAGTGTGGTGGCATCTTCCACCTGCACGGGGTCTCTGAGAAACTGCATAGAACTCCTGAGAGCTTAGTTCCTTTGCAGCGTGACCAAAGCCAATGACTGCTTTGTTTTGCTTAAACACTTTTGCTATTTTATTATTTATTTCCTGGCACACGTAACTACAAACACGAGATTCACTTCATGAAATTAAACGATCCAATCAATACCACAAATATTTAAAATCTGGCAAACACCACATAGGAAAACAACCATCAAAATCTAGACTGTAGGAAACTCTACTGAACAAATTATCCTTTCTTCAACAAAACAATTGAGAAAGGAGGGGACCCACACATTAAAAGTGATTTAAGGGTGGGGGGCCGGCGCTGTGGTGCAGCAGATTAAAGCTGCAGCCTACAGCAGCGGCATCCCATATGGGCGCCAGTTCGAGTCCCAGCTGCTCCACTTCTGGTCCAGCTCCCTGCTATGGCCTCAGAAAGCAGTAGAAGATGGCCCAAGCACTTGGGCCCCTGCACCAGTGTGGGAGACTTGGAAGAAGCTCCTGGCTTTGGATTAGCTCAGCTCTGGCCGTTGCGGTCATTTGGGGAGTGAACCACCAGATGGAAGACCTCTTTCTCTCTCTCTCTCTCTTGCTCTGTAACTCTGTCTTTCAAATAAATAAAATAAATCTTTTTTAAAAAAGTGATTTAAGGGACACAATGTGGAATTGTTTGGATTCTTTTTCAAATAAAAAGACTTTTTAAAGAAAGAGAACTCGGGGACTAGAGTTGTAGAGCAGTGGGTTAAGCTGCTGCCTGCAAGGCTGGCATCCCATATCAGAGCACTGGTTCGAGTCCTGGCTGCTCCACTTCTGATCCAGCTTCTGCTAATGCACCTAGGAAAGCAGCAGAGGATGGCCCAAGTACTTGGGTCCCTGCCACCCACGTGGAAGACCTGGATGGAGTTCCAGGCTCCTGGCTTTGGCCTGGTCCAGCCCTGGCTGTTGTGGCCTTTTGGAGAGTGAACCAGTGGATGGAAGATCTCTTTCTCTGTTTCTCTCTCTCTCTCTTTTTTTTTTTTAAATCATTATCTTTTATTTTTAGCTGATAGATTGTAATTGCGCGTATTCAGAAATGGAGGTGATTTTTTTTTATTTTATTTTTTTATTTTTGACAGGCAGAGTGGACAGTGAGAGAGAGAGACAGAGAGAGAAAGGTCTTCCTTTTGCCGTTGGTTCACCCTCCAATGGCCGCCGCTGCAGCCGGCGCACCGCGCTGATCCGATGGCAGGAGCCAGGAGCCAGGTGCTTTTCCTGGTCTCCCATGGGGTGCAGGGCCCAAGCACCTGGGCCATCCTCCACTGCACTCCCTGGCCACAGCAGAGAGCTGGCCTGGAAGAGGGGCAACCGGGACAGAATCCGGCGCCCCGACCGGGACTAGAACCCGGTGTGCCGGCGCCGCAAGGTGGAGGATTAGCCTATTGAGCCACGGCGCCGGCCCTGTTTCTCTCTCTCTTTTACTCCACCTTCAAATAAATAAAGTAACTCTTCAAAAAAGAGAAATCATAGGGCCTGCGCTGTGGTGTAGTAGGCTAAGCCTTAGCCTGTGGCAACGGCATCCCAAATCGGAACTGGTTTGAGTCCTTGCTTCTCAATTGCTGGTCCAGCTCCCTGCCACCTGCATGGGAGACCCAGAAGAAGCTCCTGGCTCCTGGCTTCCAATGGGCCCAGCTCCAGCAGCTGAGGCCATTTGGGGAGTGAATCAGCAGATGGAAGACCTTTCTCTCTGTCTCTCCCTCTCTCTATAACTCTCTCAAATAAATAAGTAAATAGAATCTTTAAGAGAGAGAGAGAGAGAGAAATCTTAGGATAATTAGAGAAATGAGACTGGACATCTGATGATATTAAGAACTTTCTTGTGCCTTTTTTTTTTGTTTTTTTTTTTTTTCCAAAGAGGAGTCATATGTGTCCCCAAATCTAGTTCTTTCTCTAGGTCTTATTTTATAAATTGGGGTGATATACCAGGTGTGATTCATTATGCTATATAACATCATTTACATAATAAATATTTATTATATGATTTTGTATGATCACATAATGACTAATTCTAGGTTACCCTTGATCAACCTTAAGTATAATGACAGTACAGTTAGTATAATGGCTTTTGCAAACGATCAGTGCTAATTTGCAGACTTCTGTCTAAAGGGGTCATAAGTCGAGAAATTTTGTGATTTTACCAATTGCCATCAAATGAACTGTAAAACTGGGGGAAAAATCAAGAGAGAAGTCCTAGTCTTTTAGAGCTATACATAGAAGCCTTTAGAGACCATCCAATATGAAATGACACACTAGCTGAGATCTGCTGGGGTGGGGGTGGGGGCAGGGTTTTAGAAGCAGCAAGATCATCAGCAGGTAACTGTAGAAGCTGAATGATGAGTACACGAGTTCTGGCAACACTATTTCACACATGTTGGGAAAGTTCTTTAAAGCTAAAAAAGTGAGTCCAGGGAACAGTATCGTGGTCCACTGGGTTAAGCTGTCACCTGGGACTCCAGGTTTGAATCTTGGCTGCTCTACTTCTGATCCAGCTCTCCGCTAATGTGCCTGGGAAAGCAGAAGAGGATGGCCTGAGTGCTTGGGCCTCTGCCACCCACACGGGAGTCCCAGATGGAGCTCCAGGCTCCTGGCTTCATCCTGGCCCAGCCCCGGCCCTTGTGGCCATTTAGGGGGTAGAGCAGCAGATGGAAGATCTCTGCTTCTCTGTTTCTCCCTCTCTCTACAATTCTGACTTTGCAGCAAATCAACCTCTTTTTTTCTTTTTTTTTCTTCTTAAGATGTATTTATTTTACTTGAAAGTCAGAGTTAAACAGAGAGAGAGAGGTCTTCCATCCGCTGGTTCACTCCCTAAATGGCCACAACAGCCGGAGCTGCGCCGATCCGAAGCCAGGAGCCAGGAGCTTCTTCCAGGTCTCCCACCTGGGTGAAAGGGCCCAAGCAGTTGGGCCATCCTCTACTGCTTTCCCAGGCCATAGCAGAGAGCTGGATGGGAAGTGGAGCAGCTGAGACCAGAACCAGTGCCCATATGGGATGCTGGCACTGCAGGCGGCGGCTTTACCTGCTACGCCACAGCACTGGTCCCAAATCAATTTTTTTTAAGTCATTCTAACAAACAGAACCATAGTAAATGTGAAAGTCCGTGGCACCTAAAATTCTATCATTTTCCAAGAAGTGGACAGGAGGGCAGTTGAATGGCGGGACGTGTCCCTCACGGCTGCCGCTCTTTGCCACAGTTCTGCGGGAGGGGGAATCTCCCTCTTTCCCTTCCATCAGAACAGGCACTTACCTCCGAGGGGCTGCGGTCCATTTCAAGGAAGCACGCTGAATCCACTGCCTTAAATGTCAGAAAGAGCAAGCACATGCAGTCTGGCCACCCAGTAGTTTCGCAGCCTTCCCACTGCTTTTGAACTGGTACCCAGGACTTCCCACAGACCTCAGCCTGCACACTGCCAACTGACTGCCACCCTGACCGCATCGCTGACCCCTGTCCAGTCCCACTTGGGCCTCTTCATCAGTCTCTGAAACTCCCCAACACACTGGGCCAACTAGCTGGCCCGTCCACTTTCGACCCTTACTGCTTCCTCCTCTTGAAAGTTGGAACTAGCCAGCTTTAAATATTCAAAGACTTCCAAAGTCTACCAGGGCCGACAAAAACCTGCTGATGGGCAGACATGAGGCTCCTGGGAAGTCCAAATGACTTCCAGCTCCACTTTGGATACAGCCAACACAGATTCATCAGGGCTCACTCTGAGAATATCACACCAGCTGCAACCCCAAGTCCAGTGAACCTTCGGGTACAGACGCGATGGGGCAGGTTCACAGCTGCGAAACCCAAGAGACGCAGATGAGGGCCTCAACCCTCCCTTCCAGCAAAATGGGTCTTTTCTACTCCTTCTTTGGTTACATCAATCAATAGCTCATAAAACATAGGGCTAGTGCATTGCTCTGCAAGACTTGGACAAGGTAATCGCTCTATTTCATCCTCCTGCTTCAGAACTCTCCTCCGGGGGAAATAAACCTGCCTTTCTGGGGAAAACAAAAGCCTCCCCTACCTTGCCCTAGAAACAAAACTAAAGGCAGCGATGATGAGCAAGCGCCCCAAGCCGCACGACGGCCCCGCGCCGGCTCAGCCAGGGGTGCTCTGTCCAGCCCGGAGTGTACGTGTGTTTTGCTTTAAAATTCCTCTAAAATGGAAAGGGAGAAGAGTGGGCGTGTAAGCTGGAGCCCAGGCTCCATTCAGATGGCTCGTGTCCTCCCATCTCACTCTGCATCAAGATGTGGCCACCCCGGCTGAATTTCAAGGGGGCAATTTCTTGGGCAATTAAATATGTCAACTACAGACGCCGGAGGCCGGGGCAGCGGGAGCAAACGTCCCGACGAGCGAGGCTGGCAGGGCGCCCGCCGCCTCGGGCGCCGGCCAGGGACTGCACCGCCCGGCTGCCCACCCGCACCTCCGCTGGGTCCCCAATTCGGGCTAGGCTCGGTCACTTCCGGTGACAAATCCCTCCTCCCACCGCCTCCAGCAATAATGTACCGATTCCCCCGCCGCCTTCCTAAAACCCTGCGGCCCCTCCGAGAGGCGCGGAGCGAGGCACGGGGAGGGGGCGCGGGGTCTCCGCTCCCCCGCCCTGCGGCCGCCGCCCGGGAGCCGCTTCCAGACTCGCCCGGGCCCCACCGAGCGCGGCCGCAGCTCCGAGCACGCTCCCTCCCGGCGCGGTGGCCCGCGGGGGCCCCAGGCCGCGCGAACTGCAGTGGATGCGGGGTGGGCGGAGGGCGAGGGGACTCGGGCGGCGGGAATGAGAAAGAAGACACCAGAGGCATGCAAGCGGCTCCCCAGCCAGCTGCCCCGGCTGCCGCTTCCTCCGGCGCGGGCCGGGCGGTGCAACATCCCCCCCCTCCGTCTTCCCCACCACTACCTGTCCCCCCACCCACCACACGCACACAGTCCTCTCCCACCCCAGCGGCGGATCTCCGGTCTGCAAGGGGGTAGCAGGGAGGAGCTGGGGGGAGGGGGAGGCCTGCGAGTTTCTAACCTTGTTCTTATAAACAAACCCACATGTGCAGCTGCCGCTGCTGCAACTCACCCCACAATCCCGGATATAAGGCCTGTCCCTTTAAGAAGAAAAAAAAGCTTCCCCCGCCTGCCTCCCACCCCACCCATCCACAAGGACCTTTGTCTCCCCGCCCGCCCCGCCCGGCGGCCCCGCCCCTCGTCCCCGCCCCCCTTCGGCTCCCTGGAACCAATAGGCGAAGGAAATAAGGCCGGGGGATTGACGCCATCGTGTCCGGCCAATCACAGGGCGCGTTGGTGGGAGGCCTCCCGGAGGGCGCGCCCAGAGGCAGGAAGGCCGGAGAGGAAGCTTGAAGTTAACATGGAGTCTGCTAGTTGCTCCGCCGGCGCCGTGGGCGACGGGGACATGGGGTCCCAGCGGGACCTGAGCTCGGTGCCTGAGCGGCTCCACAGACGCGAGCAAGAGCGGCAGCTGGAGGTGGGAAGGCGGAAGCAAAAGCGGCAGGACCAGGAGGTGGAAGGGGAGAAGAGCGACTTCTTCGCCGCCGCCTTCGCTCGGGAGCGAGCGGCCGTGGAAGAGCTGCTGGAAGGCGGTGAGTCGGTCGAGCGGCTGGAGGAGGCGGCCTCACGGCTGCAGACGCTGCAGAAGCTTCTCAACGACTCGGTTTTGTTCTTAGCCGCCTACGACCTGCGGCAGGGGCAAGAAACCATGGCGCGGCTGCAGGCGGCCCTGGCCGAGCGGCGCCAGGAGCTGCAGCCCAAGAAGCGTTTCGCTTTCCGGACCCGGAGGAAGGAGGATGGCGGTGCTGCCGCCGCCGCCGCCGCCGCCGCCACGGCAGACGCGGCCCCTGCAGCCCCGGCGGCGTCCCCGCGGCCGCTGGCGGAGGAGGGGCCAGGCCTCGGCTCCAGCTGGGTCTGCGGCTTCTCCCACCTGGAGTCGCAAGTCTTGGAGAAGAGAGCCGAGGAGCTGCACCAGCGCGACGTCGTTTTGACCGAGCTGAACCACTGCACGGTCAGACTGTACGGCAATCCCAACACGCTGCGGCTGACCAAGGCCCGCGGCTGCACGGTGCTCTGCGGCCCCGTGTCCACCTCGGTGTTCCTGGAGGACTGCAGCGACTGCCTGCTGGCCGTGGCCTGCCAGCAGCTGCGCGTCCACACCACGACGGACACCCGCGTCTTCCTGCATGTGACCAGCAGGGCCATCGTGGAGTACTGCCACGGGATCCAGTTCGCCCCGTACACCTGGAGCTACGCGGGCATCGACGCGGACTTCGAGAGTTCTGGGCTGGACCGGAACAGAAATCACTGGAATGACGTTGACGATTTTAACTGGCTGGCCCGGGATGTGGCCTCCCCAAACTGGAGTATCCTTCCCGAAGGGGAGCGAAAAGTCCAGTGGGACTGAGCAGTCACCAAGCACTTCCTCCTGGGGCCCGCTGCCGCTGTCATCTATTTGCGGTGTTTAAGGGTTGAGGCTGTGACAGGCTCCGACGTGGCCATCCCCATTAAATTAAATTCTTGACAGAGCCAACACTGAACAGCGTTTTTTTTTTCTGTTTTGGTGCCATCTGGGACCATGGCAGATCGAAGCAGTGAGAGAGGAGAGAGTGGTTGGGTTGACTTCAGTGGTGGGTGGTATGTAGCTACACAGTGCTTGAGGCAGTGGGCCTCCAGTGGATGTTTGTTTCACGTAGGCGTCGGGGAGGGTTCTGGTGGGACCCGGTCCATGCGGCCCTGTGGTATCAGCACCACGCAGGAGTGTTTTGAATGGGAGATTTGACTTGGGGATTTTCCAGCGGCGCGGTATAGGACTCCTGTCTAATCTTGAGCTGTGTATTAGCATGGACATCTGGAATCCAGCTACTCAATGACTTCTTTGCACGGATTCTGAATCTTACCAACAGTGATGCCAAAGCAATTGTTACAGCCACCAAGCTTTTTTTTACACTTAAAATAAATACACTGTCCTGGAGGCTTTATCTGTATAACTTAGACCCCCCCAAAACCTTAAAAGGTGGTGCTGTCAAAACCATGTTTTTTTCTTCTGTGTGTTTTTTTGTTTGTTTGTTTTGTTTTGTTTTTTGTTTTTTTTTTTTTTTTTGACAGGCAGAGTGGACAGGGAGAGAGAGACAGAGAGAAAGGTCTTCCTTTTGCCGTTGGTTCACCCTCCCATGGCCGCCGCGGCCGGCGCACTGCGCTGATCCAATGGCAGGAGCCAGGTACTCATCCTGGTCTCCCATGGGGTGCAGGGCCCAAGCACTTGGGCCATCCTCCACTGCACTCCCTGGCCACAGCAGAGAGCTGGCCTGGAAGAGGGGCAACCGGGACTAGAACCCTGTGTGCCGGTGCCGCATGGCGGAGGATTAGCCTAGTGAGCTGTGGCGCTGGCTTTTCTGTTTTTAAGATTTATTTGAAAGAGTTAGAGATCTTCCATCTGCTGGTTCACTCCCCAGGTGGTCGCAATGGCAGGGGCTGGGCCAGGCTGAAGCCAGGAGCCTGGCACTCCATGCGGGTGTCCCACTGGGCCATCTTGCCCGCTGCTTTCCCCGGGGCACTTCATCAGGGGGCTGGATGGGAGGTGGGAGTAGCTGGGATGCTGGCAGCTGCCACAGGTGGTGGACCGAAGGATCACTTTTCAAGTTAGGACACAGGTGAGTAACTTGCCGGAGGCCACACAGCTCACGTGCTGGCTGTGATAGGAAGGAAATGAGCTTCCACGACGGGGAAGGCAAATTGCTTTTATTAAGTTCGCGGGCATAATTATGCTGCCAGTTATCCCATAGAAAAAGAAACTTGAGGCAAACATGCAGCTCTGTTTCTTCCACTCCTGCTGCTGTCATCTCTACTGTCACAAATCGATTTTCCTAGAAGAAAGGTGGGAGATACTTTTTTAGAAAAGTTTTTTGAGGCCAACGCCGCGGCTCACTAGGCTAATCCTCTGCCTAGCGACGCTGGCACACCGGGTTCTAGTCCCGGTCGGGGCGCCGGATTCTGTCCCGGTTGCCCCTCTTCCAGGCCAGCCCTCTGCTGTGGCCAGGGAGTGCAGTGGAGGATGGCCCAGGTGCTTGGGCCCTGCACCCCATGGGAGACCAGGAAAAGCACCTGGCTCCTGGCTCCTGCCATCGGATCAGCGCGGTGCGCCGGCTGCAGCAGCCATTGGAGGATGAACGAACGATAAAGGAAGACCTTTCTCTCTGTCTCTCTCTCTCTCACTGTCCACTCTGCCTGTCAAAACAAAACAAAACAAACAAAGTTTTTTGAGTCTCAGTTTTGTAGCTGTAGACGTGCTTTCTCCTTACAAGTGTGACGCTCCATGGCATACCTTGAATATTTACGTGTGTTATCTGGTACTGTTTTATTCTCAGGATTCCAGGTGGTTTCTAGGATGTAAAATGAAACCAGATGACAAGGGTAGAGTCGCACATTGGAGGCAGAAGTTAGGTCAAGCTCTCTTCCTTAGCAGAAAGTGAATCCACATTCCTCCCTCTTTTTTTAATGACGTATTTTTATTTGAAAGCCAGAGAGAGAGCAAGCCCTTCCATCTACTGATTCCCTCCCCAAATGGCTGCAAAGGCGAGGGCTGGGCCAGGCTGAAGCCAGGAGCCTAGAACTCCATGGGGTCTCCCACGATGTGGCAGGGGCCCGAGCACTTGGACCGTCCTCCCCTGCCTTCCCAGGAGATTACTGGGATCCAGATTGAAAGTGGGGCAGCTGGGACTCGAACCGGTGCTCATAAGGGATGCTGGTGTTGCAGGTGGCGGCCTAACGCACTGCTCTACAACCCCAGCTACTACCTATCTTGAAAAAGGATCATCACCGTTTTCCAATTTGCAACATCTATGAAGAGGAAAAGTCAGTTGCTGAGAAGAAATCCTGAGAATGAAGAGACTAATGTGCCGGCACCGCCATAGCTCACTAGGCCAATCCTCCGCCTGCGGTGCCGGCACACCAGGTTCTAGTCCCGGTCGGGGCACCGGATTCTGTCCTGGTTGCCCCTCTTCCAGGCCAGCTCTGCTATGGCCAGGGAGTGCAGTGGAGGATGGCCCAGGTGCTTGGGCCCTGCACCCCATGGGAGACCAGGAGAAGCACCTGGCTCCTGCCTTCGGATAGGTGCGGTGCACCGGCAGACCGTAGCGGCCACTGGGGCATGAACCGACAGCAAAGGAAGACCTTTCTCTGTCTCTCTCTCACTGTCCACTCTGCCTGTCAAAAAAAAAAGACTAACGCGATTCTCAGACGTAATCTGCACATGAGCAGCTGTGACCAGTGTCCTCATGGTTTGCAGTTCATATTTGTGAACTGAGTTTAACTTATTCTTTTTAAGTTTTAGGAATTTGAAAGAGGGAGAACAGAAAATGGAGTGATCCTCCATCCACTGGTTGCCTAAATGTGCAGAACAGCCAGGGCTGTGCCAAGCCGACTCTGGGAGCTGGGAACTCCATCCAGGTCCCCCACATGGGTGGCAGGAGCCCAAATACTTTAGGCCATCCTCTGCCTCTTCCCTGGGTATGCATTAGCAGTGGGAAGTGGAGGCAGGACTTATCCCAGGCCTCTGAGCAGTGGCTTAACTCGCCCACATCAGCCGCTCCTCTGGGCTGATCATTTTTGTAGGAGAGTTAACACAATTCCTTAGATCTTTTGCAAACCTGAGGTTTGCAGTAGCGAATACAATCATCACCGTGACAGCTTGAACCCTGATGCCAGCTCCTCTCGGCTGAGCTTTAGGTGCTGCCCGGCAAGCCCATTGCACCTCTGGAATGCTTGCTCCACGTTCTTCACGCCACCCACTCCAGACCTTTCCCCCTTGACGGAAGCTTATGATGTTCTGTCCAAATTCTGCCAGCCTCACTCAACAAAAGCCATTCAACTAGCACACCCTTAACCCCCCATATTTGGAAAATTGGGGCCAGTGTTGTGGCACTGTGGGTGGAGCCACTGCATGCAATGCCAGCATCCTCTATGGGCACAGGCTCATGTCTCAGCTTCTCCACCTCCAATCCAGCTCCCTGCCAATGGGCTGGGAAAAGCAGCAGAGGGTGACCCAACTTCTTGGGCCCCTGCACCCACATGGGAGACCCAGAAGAAAGTCCTGGCTCCTGGCTTCAGCCTGGTCCAACCCTCGCCATTGCAGCCATCTGGAGAATGAACCGGTGAATGGGAGAGCCTTCTTTCTCTCCCTCTCAATCAACTCTTTAAAAAATATTTGGAAAAATTAAGAAAGTTCCATTCTTGCTCCTTTCGAGAGCTGTTTCCTCTTCCACAAAACTCCCTCTTGACTTGTGCTCATGGCACACATTTTTTTAAATAAAGATTTATTTACTTGAAAGAGTTACACAGAGGAGAGGCAGAGAGAGAGCGGGGTCTTCCCTCCGCTGGTTCACTCCCTAATTGGCCGCAATGGCTGGAGCTGCGCTGATCTGAAGCCAGGAGCCAGGAGCCAGGAGCCAGGAGCTTCTTCTGGGTCTCCCATGCAGGTGCATGGGTCCAAGGACTTGGGCCATCTTCCACTGCTTTCTCAGGCCATAGCAGAGAGCTGGATTGGAAGTGGAGCAGCCAGGTCTTGAACTGGCTCCCACATGGGATGCTGGCGCTTCAGGCCAGGGCATTAACCTGCTGTGCCACAGCGCCGACCCCGTGGCACAGATTTTCAACATTTCGGGATCATTTCTATCGACCCCAAGCCAGAGTTTGAACTGTGTAGATGAAATCTCTACCCCAAACCAACTCAGATCTGCAGCAGCCACAGAAGGAAGCAGGTACTGTTAAAAGGCCTGCCTTCCCTCATGTCATATGCTGACCTCGCCCTGCACCGCAGAAACTCTAAAACCATTTGCTTTTGGCTCTTCTGGCTGCTATCATAGTTACATGGACTGTGCTGCCTCAGGGCAGCGGATTTATTTCCTACTGTTCTGGAGGCTGTGAAGTCCAAAGTCAAATCCAAACGCAGATTTCAGTTCCAGGTGAGGGCCTGCTTCTGGCCCATAGGCTACAGTGTTCTCCCTGTGTCGTTGATGTGAGGAATGGGATGAGTCTTTTGTTTTTAAAGATTTTAATATATTTATTTGAAAGGGTTACAGAGAGGCAGAGAGAGAGAGAGGTCTTCATCTGCTGGTTGACTCCCCAAATGGCCACAATGGCCAGAGCTGGGCTGATCTGAAGTCAGGAGCCAGGAGCTGCTTCCTGGTTTCCCACACCTAAGCACCTGGGCCATCTTCTACTGCTTTCGCAGGCTATGGCAGAGAGCTGGATCAGAAGTGAGCAGCCAGACTGACTGTGCCATATGGGATAGCAGGTGGCAGCTTTACCCGCTAGGCCACAGTGTGGGCCCCGTGAGTCTTGTATGTGGGCACTCCTCCGGTTCACGGGTTCTCTGTGCTCACAACCAGTCGTCTACCAGAGGCCCACCTCGCAGCCCCAGCATGTTGTGTGGGAGGGACACAAATATTCAGGCTAGAGTGCTGATCACGAGAGTGCAAGATCATTTATTCATCCGGTAACCAAGCTGAGCAGTCTCTTCAGAGATCCAAATAC